AAAATTCAAACTTTCAAAGATATTTTACATGACTTTTTAAAAATTATTTTTCCATTGACAAACATAGTTGTGAAATAGAGTAACTAAAATTTCAGTACACCTAGCATTTTGTACAAAATTCTGCAAGTGTAATATAAGCATTTTCTCTTAACTATGACAGTAGCGTTTTTTTCATAAATGTATGTGTTTTTTTATGCTCTTGAATAGGGAGAAATAGTATATCTTAAAAACATCTAAAGTTTGAATGCCAACTCATATTTATGTTTTCAAAATTAATAAAAGTGGCATAAATCCACCAGAGATGTTCAAAATGACATTCTTTTATTGTATGATATTTCTGTATTTCGTTAGCCTTCTGCTAGAAGCTTTCTTTTAAACAAAGTTCTCTAGGAAATTGTGTCCTCTTGTGGTCATTGGCAAAAACAACATATTTTTTGCAGGATGAATCAAACTAAACAATGAAAACAGGACTTAAGGCTTCAGGAAAAGCCATTTGTGAAAAAAAAGCAAATCCCCTGAAGTGAAGAAAGACGAAAGTTACAAGTAATCAGAAAGGGACATTTAATTGGAAAAACAGAATGTAAATCTTCTGCTTATATTTAAATTACTCACATCACACAGTTAAAGATAGAATGCTTACTATGCAGCACAACTGTGACCGTGACAAAAAGTCCTCAGTAACTCTATTTCTTACATTATTTCTTCATCTATTCAAGCAACTCTTTGAAATAAGTAGTGAGAGTGTATGTCAACAAGGTTAACTGGCAGTCAAGATGGAATACCAGTTCGCCAGCAGACTGCACTTCCCACAAACTGAAAAAAAAAAAAAAAAGGAAAAAGAAAAGATCAAGAAGTTCAATACCCTACACATTTCCACACTCTGCGCCTGTTTCTCTGTACAGTATAGATCTAGGTCTCTTTATTCCATTTTCATTTTGAATGCAGAAAGTTGGCTTAATGATTGAAATTTACTTGAAATATTTATTTGATCATTTCGGGTGCTCTTAACATCTCGATTTATTCTTTTTTTTTTTTTTTTTAACTTGAAAACTGGATAGAGAGCTTCAAATCGTATAACTTTAGGTCCTCATTCTTAAAAGACACACATAAAGAGAATGGTATAATCTTTTAAATTTCTTGAATTAAACCACCATTTAAAAAGAATGAAATTTTATTTAGTGAAAGATGTTCAAACATCACAAAGGCTCCCTGGTTAACCAAAAAATGTATTTTCACCAAACACTCATGCTGCCACAAATTTACATTCTGATTTCATAAAATCAGCTCATACAAGGACCAAACTGGGCAACCCTTGTGGCCTGTTCAACAAAAGATGAAACCCAGGATCTACAGCTTCCTCTCTGCAATCCACTCAGCAGTAGACTCTTCAGTCGCGCCCTCTTCTGCAGGAACACGTCTGTGCTTCTGCCACCCAATTAGAAAACGCAGTTCTTGGAACTCAAAGCCAACAAACAGGTGGTAGATCACATAAAGATGGAGAAGAAAGGAGTAGAAGAACAGATTAAAGTACTCTGCTTGTGAAGATCAAAACTTCAAACTCTACTGGCTTACTAACAATTCTATAGTGTATTTCTTTTCTATCTGAAAGCACTTCTATCTAATTAATTGATTGCTGCCAAGGGAATGCCAGGGCACAGTCACACTGCAAGGATACTTACAGGTTTATTTCATGTGCTCAGTATGAGATTTCTGTTACTTCTAATAGTAATTTTTTTCAAACTTTTAACGCAGCACACATTCCTCAGGAAGGACTGCAAACATGCCAAGTTTGCAGTTTGAAAACAAAGCTCATTTGAATTATCCAAGTCTAAAAGAAATGTGTGTGTGTGTGTTGTTATTTTTTTTCAGAAATCTTATTTTAGAAGTAGAAAAAGTTACTGACTCCCAATTAATCTACTATTCCCAAGAAAGTAGTCTTCTATAGACAGCCTTCCAGTCAGAGTTCAGCTCTAAAAGTAAACTTCTAAGACTATTTTTGAAGGCCTGAAATTGGGATTATTAAAATAAAGCTTCCATGTCCTAAACTAAACATTGTGGAGGTTACAATTATTGTGCATGTATGCGATATCCAGAACCATGTATGAATTGTCACCACATAAAAATGATTCTAAAATGTTAAAAAAAAAAAAAAAAAGAAAGAAAGAAAAAAAGAGCTGCACATAACCAGAGTGGAGAGTCCCTTACTGCCACATCAAAATTTGCAATGCAAGAATTAGGAAGCCCCAGACGTTTTTGGGGGAAGTAATTCACCTGACACCTTACTACTGTATTTTTGCTCACTGATATTTCAGCTCCACTTACCACCTCAAAAACTGATCTCTTCCACTGCTCCAAAGAGTTCTAGAGAAACAGCATCCCAGAACTAAAGTTATCAGTCCTGATCCTATGGCAGGAATGGTTTGGGTTTGGTCATTTATTTTCAATTCTTTTCTAAGCATTCTGCCATCTGAGTTTCAGCTTTGACTACCCCTGAATGGCCAGGAGCCACTCATCCCCTGGAAATTTAGTGCCAGAGAAGGGCTGTGCTCACTTCTTTCAGACCTAGTCTTGGATCCCTGGTTGATGCCTGTTGAGGACTCGGTTTCTCCTCTGCCTTCTAAAAGGACCCTTTCCTTTTCCCCAATTCCCCTTGGTCAGGTAAGGTTTCCTTTACACTTTGCCCACACTTTCCTGTCCCACTTAACCCGCTGCCACAAAAGTAGCAGTCCAATCATTCAATCTATTTCTGACTTTCAGCTAAAAACAAAACAAGTTTTGAGTTTGACAGTAAAAAAGAGAAAACGAGATAAAGTAGAAATTTTTCGAGATTTCTGTAGCCACGTTCTGTGTAAAAACAGTAGAATTGTTTGCAATTCAGACTTAAAGGAGAACACACTATGTAAAAAATGGAGCAGAATTTCTGCCTCATTCCGCTTCCAATAGTAAAGATCCAGTAGGAGAAAGATGAAAATATAAGAATGCATGGGTGATACTATTTTCAAGGCTGAATAGTGCTGATTAAATTAAGTGGAGGTCAAAGAGACTCTGATTGATATTCAGACTGGCTGTCATTTCAAAACAGGGCTCAAGGACCAGACCAATCAGCAACCTGAGGTCACCGTTTCAGAATACTTCTGTTAAAATGGTGAGGTACAACCCTAGCCTGTCTCCCCTCCTTGGAAAGCACAGTCCTGTGTGCCCCTCAAGTGAGAGATAACTCTTGCCCCCATTTCCCTTCAAAGACTGTGCCCCTCAGTTGGTCAAGTCGCTCCATTTTCTAGTTTCCGGACTGAAGCTGCGAGCCTCAGCGGGGCACAGCCACGTGGCCTGCCCGCCCGTCGCCAGGGCTCCCGCCTCCTCAGGACGTCTGCAGCCCAGACCCTGGGTCTAGCCCAGGAAGGGGCGACTGCTGAGCTAACGGTGCTCGGTTTTGCCCTGGAGGCTTTGGGCAGACAGATTTCAGCCTGCAGAGAACTGGAGGGCGAAGCACACAACTCGGCATCCTTTGAATCTTCCCTGAATTCCGACTACTGCCCTTGGCCTTTGGTTTGCTTTGCTGTGTAAGGGACAAAGGTGAAGTGGTCATTTTACTCAACCTTGTCCCCAAGCAGAAACAAGTATAGAATTGCTGAGGCTTCCCTCTGTGCTCACCGCAACTGTGTTGCTTCCAGTTCACCAGCATCTGATCGATCACCCTGTTTGAGTCTCTTCGTTTTAACTTATTTGGCGGAAAGACTTAACATCCAAAGGCGTCCAAGTAACTGGAATGCGTTTGGGGCGCTGGCAGCTCTACTGTCCGCCTGACCTCCTAGCCAGGGGAGCTGGGCGTGGGCATTCTGAGCAGACAGCCCGTGAGCCCGGGCGCTATGGAGTCCCCTGCTCACTCCCACAGAGGCTGACCTTTCATTTCAGATCACCGCCCGGGGCCTAATCTGAGGGTGAGGTGTGGACGAACTAGCCGCAGGGACCTCCACCTTGGGTTGGCAGTGCTAAGCACTAGGGCCGTGACGAAGCCACTGCCCTCCTCTCGCTTTTGTGCCTTGTGCAAGGGCCAGGCTTCCCTGGGCCGCAGAATAAACTGTGCCTCTTTCTAGCACCTTCGGAAGCACGGTCTTTGGGGTGTAGGGAGGCTTTAGAGCGGGTCACGGTGGAGGAAAAACGAAGGCCCAGTGGCTTCTCGGGGAGGAGTGAGCACACAGGCCGGGGCGCAGATCCACTGCCCCCGCGGCGCGGCCACGTCCTCAGAAACGCCCACGACCTGGGCCCCGGCCGCCTCGTGCAGGCTTGAGGACCCCGACTATCGGGTGGGCTCTGAGGGTGCCACATTTCTTGCCACCACCTTCCGCTCCAGCCATCCCTTTAAACTGGCCCGAGGACCTGGGGGTTTGAGAAGGGATGCGCTCCGATGCACTGCGCGGACGCTGTGGCCGCCGCTGCCGCTGTCACGGCCCCGCCGTGTGAGGCTGCGCGGCGGCCCGGACCGTCCCAGTCCCCTCAGGCCGCTTCCCGGAGCCGCGCTCGGTTGCGGGGGCGCCGCGCGCGGAAGGAAATCGCCCCGCGCCCGCCGCCGCCGCCGGGAAGGGGAGGGCGGCGAGGAGGCGGGCGGAGGGGCCGGCCGCCCGGGCAGGTCGGCTTTGAATGGTTCGGGAGGACGAATTGTTAGACCCCGAGGAAGGGGGGCAGGCCGGGGGAGGGGGCTGGAAAGCGGAAACTTTCCTATAAAACTTGGAAAAGTCCCTCCTCCCCGCGTCAGGCCAATGACACCGCTGCCCCCAGCTTTCCGCCGCACGGAGGTATAAGAGCCTCCAAGCCTGCAGCCTTCGCCCGACTCCCAGACACCTCGCGGGCTCGCCGGCTCCGACAGCGCTTCCCGGAGGCCGCGCGGGGCGTGCGTGCGTCCGTGCGGCCGCGGCGCGCCTTCTTTTTGGACCTCGGGGCCCTCCGCAGCGTCCCCTCCCCCGGCGCCGCCTCCGCCTCCCGCGCCCTCCCCGCGGAGGTCCTCCCGCTCCCGCCTCCCGCTCCCGCTCGGCGGCCGCTCCGCCCGGCCCGGCGCCGCGCGCGGTGGAAGCTGGCGGGCTGAGGCGCGCCGCTCCGCTCCTCGTCCCCGGGCCCGCGAGGCCGCACGTCGCCGCCCGAGAGATGATGCAGGACGTGTCCAGCTCGCCAGTCTCGCCGGCCGACGACAGCCTGAGCAACAGCGAGGAGGAGCCGGACCGGCAGCAGGCGCCGAGCGGCAAGCGCGGGGCGCGCAAGCGGCGCAGCAGCAGGCGCAGCGCGGGCGGCGGCGCGGGCCCCGGCGGGGCGGCGGGCGCGGGCGGCGGCGGCGGCGAGGAGCCGGGCAGCCCGGCGCAGGGCAAGCGCGGCAAAAAGTCCGCGGGCGGCGGCGGCGGCGGCGCGGGAGGCGGCGGCAGCAGCAGCGGCGGCGGGAGCCCGCAGTCGTACGAGGAGCTGCAGACGCAGCGGGTCATGGCCAACGTGCGGGAGCGCCAGCGCACGCAGTCGCTGAACGAGGCGTTCGCCGCGCTGCGGAAGATCATCCCCACTCTGCCCTCGGACAAGCTGAGCAAGATCCAGACCCTCAAGCTGGCGGCCAGGTACATCGACTTCCTCTATCAGGTCCTCCAGAGCGACGAGCTGGACTCCAAGATGGCAAGCTGCAGCTATGTGGCCCACGAGCGGCTCAGCTACGCCTTCTCGGTCTGGAGGATGGAGGGGGCCTGGTCCATGTCCGCGTCCCACTAGCAGGCGGAGCTCCCCACCCCTCAGCAGGGCCGGAGACCTAGGTAAGGACTGCGCCTCTGCGCCCCTCAGGTGGCGGACGGACGGACGGACGGACGGACGGATGGACGCCCTGGGCGCGGTGGCCCGGCCGCCTGGCCGCGCTCCTCTCTCCCACGGTCCTCCCAGCCCTGTCACCCAACCTGGCGCCGCTGCTGCGTTCCGCCAGCGTTCCCGGAAGCCTTTTGGTCCCCGCGAGGGAGCGAGGTCCCTCAGGGGATGCGCCCTGGATAGAGTGTGCGTGTGCGTGTGCGTGACAGACAGCTAGGAGGACCGAGAGAGACTGCAGGGTCAAGGGGAAGGACAGTTTTGCAGGGCCTCCTTTTCTTTGGGCTTTAACGTTCCGTTCTTCTTAAAACAAATGTTTCCAAATTCCACCTCCTCCTTTCCGCCCACCCACTTCCTCTTGCCCTCAGGCTGAAATCCTTCCAGGTTGTTCCGCGTAATTTCTCGGCGGTGGTGATAACAGGGCTCACTTAGGCTTAGAAACAGCCACAGAGACCTAAACAGTAACCAACTTTCCCCCCTCTCTGGGTTTTTGCAGATGTCATTGTTTCCAGAGAAGGAGAAAATGGACAGTCTAGAGACTCTGGAGTTGGATAACTAAAAATAAATATATGCCAAAGATTTTCTTGGAAATTAGAAGAGCAGAACCCAAATACAAAGAAACAGGGCGTGGGGCGCACTTTTAAAAGAGAGAGCGAGACAGGCCCCTGGACAGTGATTTCCAGACGGGCAGCGGCACCATCCTCACACCTCTTCATTCTGATAGAAGTCTGAACAGTTGTTTGTGTTCCTTTTTGTTTTTTTGACGAAGAATGTTTTTATTTTTATTTTTTCACGCATGCATTCTCAAGAGGTCGTGCCAATCAGCCAATGAAAGGAAAGGCATCGTTATGGATTTTCTCCATTTTAAAATGGTAATAACCAGAGGAATTTTAAGAACAATTTTAAAAATAAAGATAATGGGATCAAACTGGCCTGCAAAATCATAGTCAGTTAATTCCTTTTTTGTTCTTTCTCTGAAGGAAAAAAACTTAAAACTACAAAAACAACGTTCTATTTATTTATTGATGACCCATGGTAAAATGCAAATAGATCCGGTGTCTAAATGCATTCATATTTTTATGATTGTTTTGTAAATAACTTTGTATATTATTTTTCTGCAATAAATAAATATGATTGAAAATTTTAAGAACGATAGAGTTTGGTCTATATTTTTAAAGCTCAGGATTAAATTGGTGGTAAATACCTGCTTGTTTAACTCTAGAGGCACCCAGGAGGGAGGGGGCACTAATATAAACAAAGCAGGGAATAACTCAAATAAACCAGCTACTGACAGGCACAGGCATGTTATTTAAAAAGACAGCTTTATTATTATTCCATTTTGGTGTTCAGCGGGACTTAACAGCATCTCTCCTTCAACTCTTATCAAGTTTCCCAGCAGAAAACTTTTAAGGAGAATTTGTTATTCAGCTCTCTTGTTTATAATTTGAAAGAGTAGCTCTGAAGCATTCAAATAATCAGTTTGAAACCAGCACTTTTTTTCTTGCTATTATATATATTTTTGCCATGTGCTCTGTTCTTTTGTGACATTTCTTAAATAGGTCTAGAGACAAGATAATGTAATAAAGTTATTTCTACACATATAAATGAATACAAATGCATGGGAAATGCTTAATTCAGTAGGAAAAAGAATTTCACATGTATTTTGTTTACTGCTTTCATGAATGAGTGTGACATTCAGGGTCATGTTTGCTGAAGAAAATATTCTTGATGTTAGCTGAGAAGTGTGCTCATAAAGAATGTATAGCTGTGCAATAAAAAACCTGAATTTCTCACTATCCTAGGTAACTTTAGAAGAGTTACCATTTTACATGCTGCAGCTATTCAATTTCAAGTGGGATTTTTAGTAAATGTATTTTATCCAAAATTATACATACTGTTTCCCTGAAGACACAAACCCAATCTGATTAAAACAATCAGAAGTATAAATGGTGCTTTATTTTTATGTCATTCTGATTATTTCGAAGCCAAAAACACGATGGTGTTTATATCATTAAAGGTAGTGGTTTTATCAAACTTAGTTCTTAATTTTTTTACATTTACTTTACTGCTTTCAAGTAAATAGGCTTTCAACTTAGACAATTATTATGGTGCCTAATTCAACAGTGACCATGTGGAATAAGTAAATGGATCCAAATAAGCCGTGTTTGCTTAGCTTAGGTGGAGGGTACATTATTGCCTGAAGGATTCTGCTTTCCTCTTCACATATCACATAGCAATGCTGACATGGCAATATTATAAATTTATTGTGAATATTTTTAACCATATTTTACAGTAAAGAGCCTGTAACATTTACTTCCAAGATTCATGAAAGCTTGGGGAACTATTTCAATTTTGATTGTCTTTTGCCAACTAATGAACAGGGAAGGTGATTGTATGTGGATATATTTGTGATTGTATGTGTGTGTGTGCACATGTGCGTGCGCATACACGCCTGTGTGTAAGTAGAAATGTGTAAGTGCCACAGAAAACTTCAAGGAAAAGTATCAAAGTGTTAATCCTCTTTTTTTGTGATGTATCATCCAACCACCTCCATTTTCTAAATTGTTCATGGGGGGAATCTTCTTGCTCACTAGTTTGGTCTGACTATTTGATATTTCAGATTTCTTGAGCTACATCAGAATGGAGCTGGCCATCATTGCTGAGAAGGTAAACAATATCTGAACTCTGGATGAAAAAACTAGATATTTCAAAGAAAGGTTGTCTTCCACTTGCCTTCTTTTCTTAATGCTTTACTTTTTCTACTTGTTTTTTTTTATAAAAGGCAACTGAAGAAAAGCAAGCATCACATTTATACTGAGTAATACTAAATACAAAATACCAAGAAATATTTAAACAAAAAATGGTGAATAGTTTTACTTGGAGGAAACTTCATAGTGGAAAATACTAACTACTTGAATATAACTTTTAGCTTGCAAATTCTGTATTTCAAATACTTAACTTTTTAGGATACAAATAAAGCCACCTGTCACCTTTTCATCCATTATTTCTTCTCATTTTACTTCATTTCGTTTCATTTTCACTACCTACATTTGTTTAAAAGATGCATCGATGCCTGTTTTATCCCTGAGAAGATAACTCTTCCCATTCAGTTAAGTGGCTGGACTCAGTTCTTCCCTTTGCAACCAGAATGCATTTGCTAGGGGAAAGGATTGTATTCAGTGATCTTGGATAAAATCTAAAATGTTGAATGAGAGGTTTCCTTTACTGTGCAAAATCATTATTTTTTAAATTTTATCTGACCGACAGCCTTTCGTCTTAAAAAAGCGGTACATTTTTGTTCCCATCTATTTCCCCTTTTCATGCATATACATGCTGAGCACATGCAGAGATAATCATTCATGCACAGTTGCAGGTCCCCTCCCCAAAGTGGAACAGACTACTAATAAAATAACCCTTAAGTAGCAGAAACTCACACACCTTGTGTACTTTTTCCCCACATTTAACAAAGGCACCAGCTTCTTGCCCCTTTGCTCTTCGGACTCATATTCATAATGGTGCTTTTTAAGGGACACTTGGCCTCTTGCAAAAAAGTAGAGCATTTTGCACATTCCACGGTTTGGCAAAGTCAGAACTAGTTATTTTCTCTAGACCGGTATCAAGTTCTTCTCAGGCATATGATTTCACTTGAAGTCCTGCCCAGGAATCCTTCAAAGTGAGCGTTTGTCCCGCTCTCATGATGTCAGGCGGTTTTCCCTGCATCTGTAATTTGAAGAAAAACAAACAAACCTGCGGAGAACAAACGCCACGGAAACCCAAACAGAACTCGGTGGGGAGCGAGGGTCTCACCTGCGGTGGGCACGCCGAGGGGCGCAGACCGGCTCCCTCGTGGGTGGCGGGCCGGCCCGCACCGTGGGGAGAGTGACACCGGCGCTGCTCTCTTCGGATGGCGATGGCGTGGACCTGCTCCAGTCCGGCTCTGGACGTTGTTTGGAGGCGGTGGCGCCAAGTGTCAGCGGTAGCAAGGAGAGCAGCAGTAACAAATTCAGGCCAAGGCCCAACCTCAGATTTCCAGAGACAGTGCCGCATGAGAGACAAACGGGTCGGAAAGGGGATCCCCTGGGGCCACTTTTGCAGAATTTTCTGCTTATGTGTCATAAAGACCGGCCCACCCCCAGCACCAGGGAAAGTGGAAGGATCGCGCAATGGCAAAATGGAAGGAGAAATCCACTTCTTCGTAATGTCTCAGGCCACGCCACTGTTTCTCAGAAAATACCAACTCCTTTCTGTAAACAGCCCTGGAAAATGCAAACATAAGGATGACTAATTTTCTTTATTTACTCAACAGCAAAAGATAGACCTAGTCAACAGGGCATGGCACACACTCTGCACTCGGTTTTGTCACCAGGCCCCAGGACTGTGAGCCACTTAATGTTCTTAGCGAATCAAAGCACGTGTCCTTTGAAGAAGGTGTGTAATTGGAGTTTAAGGCATGTATGGAATTCCCAGATGTCTATAAAGTACGAAGGAGCATGTGGCAGGTCACTGGAAGGTGGGGCAGGTTAAAATCACTGGCTCAAACGTTCCGCTTTATATTCTCCCCCTTTATAAAGGCCAGCAAGACAATCCTTGGGGAAAGGTTGGGATGGGATCATAATAAATATTCATCTTTTGTATCAGAGGCATAGTAACCATGGCGATCAGCACATGGTCAGAAAACCTCAAAGAAAACACTCAATTACAGCCGGGATTTCGTGGGCTCCTTGCAACAAGATCGTTTGGGGTTTGCTTTAGTTGAGGGCCTCCAAGGGCCTTCTTTTTGTTTACGTGGACTATTTTCTTTTCCTTTTTCTTTTCCTCCCCCCTAAATTTGTGGATGTGTCCTTCTACTTCTGCATGCAACCTAGTCTGGAGCCAGAGGAACAAAACTCCAGATTTGGGAAAGAAAAAAACAATTCTAAGGCGTTCATTTCAGAAGGCAGTCTTTTGGGGGAAGGGAGATTGCCAGTCGGTGAAATTAAATTTCTATAAAACATGCAGTTTCAACATCTACCAGGCAGAGGAAAGCTCAGTGAAAAGACAGCCATCAACATCAGCTGCGCTGCTTTTTCATTTCACTGAGGAATGTACAGACTGCGGACCAAATGTGAGTTTGAATGCTGGTCATTAGGCAGCTTTTTTGTTTTTGTTTTGTTTGGGGGCTGGAGCCTAAATTCAAATACTGCTTTTTTTTCTTCCTAACTTCATGAGGTCGCCTCATTTACCTATACAATCAAGGCAGAGGTGGGAGGTTTGGGGGACCCGATAAAGAAACTGGCCCCAGCAAAGCCTGGCACTGGGAGGAGGGCAGTGTCGGGCGGTGTGAACTAACAGCAAAGAGCTCCACAAAAGTTACCGATGAAGTGGGCAGGAAAGGGGACAGGGATGCACCACAGCGACACAAGTGTGACAAGTGAAAAGTGAGGCAGGTACCTGAAGGACGTTTGTCTTGCCCAGATGTTAAGGCTTTCCTGAAATGTCACGTGGATAGAACAGATGTATAACTTGCAAATGGAGCCACGCCTGTAAATACAAGAAAGGCAAATGCTTGCAGGGAAATCCAAGCATAAATCATCAAGCTCCTTTTCAAGAGATATCTATTTACTCCTTTAAGTATTTGCTTCCAGAAAGCGAAGGCACTTCTTCATTTATTAAGTGGATCCTCTGGGAAAGTCACCATTTCATTTCCAACCCAGCACCCACATCGGCACAGACGCCTGGGGTGTAGGTGTGAGGATTGGGTGCGGGCTTATGTGGTCCCCTGCCCGCCCCGTTTTGTTTCTTCACATTCCCCATCCCCCAAGCCTCTCCTCCTGCTTCTGCAAGACTTTTGATCCTGAGAAACGTATCGAATCTCGGTTTGGAAAAGCTGAAACTAATCAATTGCCTTTTGAAGGGGTAGAGAGTGATAAGAAGCCTGGAGGAATGCCAGGCCTGACAGACCCTAAACCTCCAAGATGCTTAGACGGGCTGAAAGATGAGCACGCCGTGGGGGGGGGGGGCTCCTCTCTCCTGGGGAAGCGGCCTTCCTGAGCCCACAGGGAAAGGCTTTTTCCCAAGATATGTGACCGGTTTGTTTGAAAAGGATTTTTAAAAATGACTTTTACACATAAAAGACACCCCACCATGGAAGAAGGAAACTCA